GTTTTTGGAGCACTTGATTACTTTTGAGTAAAGAGGTCAAGTTGATACTTGAGACTTCAACTTTTACCAGAGTGTTTTTAAACTGCAGTATCTATACTTCAATTAATGTAACAAATGTGTGTACTTTTGACACCACTGCATAAAGATGCTCATAAGCGACTCCTCACGCAAATGTTTAAGATGTTACATGCGCAAATACAGTGCCCTTGATCTGTTAGTTTTCAGGAAATCCTACATCTTGAGTTGTGCCGTGTTGCCAAGGTAACCAGTGTAAACTGTTTTCCCTTTCCAGCTAACGTTTGAGCTAGCAGAAACTATCTTTAACAACTTTGGCCATTTCTTAATCACAAAATTCACAAGAACACGAGTACGGACTTGTGTCCTCACCAAGAATGTTCTTGCGAAGAACACAGGAAAGTATGGACTTGGGGAGAACAGGAGCACGCAGCATAATTATGGGTAAATTGGAAGAGAAGCATACTCCTAACATCAATACATGCTCGGCAAGTCTGGAGCTGCATTTCACCTCCTGTTATTCATAATCTCTAGATAATAAATTCTTACTTTTTTCATTTTTGGGGGGAATAATAGTTAACATAGTCAGATAAACGCAAATCAAATCAACATTTTGCCAAAGAAAACAAAAAACTCGCCATCAGAACCAGCGGTCCTTCAGACACGGCTGTGCCGAGAGAGGGCTGCTGCAGACGGGCTAGGATTAGACCTGGCTTTAAATTACGAATTAAATCGGTAAATGGGCCATATAGTGATACTTAAAAGTATAATGATCTTAAAACGTACTTTTATTGAACAACGTCAACAGAAAAGAGAACATTTAACTTAATATTATGAGCTCTGTGAGTGCTGCATTGAAAGTGGCTGCTGCCACAGTACATGCTGGGAGAGCTGTCAGTCTGGAGAACAGACATGTCTGCTCTGATGCATGCTGGGTAAATACAGAGGGGCAAGAACAACATCTAGGGACTTTGTCCATTCTTGGTCTGCTGTTCTTGTGAATTAGAACAGTAATAGGGCTGAGGCTGATGATGTTTCACGAGCACATGAGAACTTAAAGTACACATATTGAGAAACGGCCTTTATTTGTAGATGTCCTATTACCCTGTTTAACTGACACTCTACAGCCAGTAAGAATCCAGTTTTCATCCAGACCTTATTATATCTAAAAATGACTTGGTTTACCAACTTTCAACTCTTGAAGAGTAGCGATTAGCCAGAAGTTCCTTTGCTAGTAGGAAGAAGAGTACAGCCTCAAGCGGGATTTCCTGAAAAGTAGGCAATTACAGGAAGGTGTTCTTGTGGCCTGGGTCGGTTGTTCAGAGAGCGATGAAAAGATCAGATCCAGGTCGCATTTGGGCAAAAAAATTAGATTTGGGTCACTTCAGGCAGCGGTGTGAACGTAACCTGAACAACACTGATCTGATTTTTTCCAATGCGACCCACGTCACTTGGCTATGTGGTTCTAAATCCGATACATATCCAATTTTTTTCATGTGTGACCTGTGTCTGAACGGCCAGGTCACATTCATCTGACCTGAACGTTGAAACGATTGCTTTGTTAATGTGCTGGCTCCAGATGAAATAGAAATGAAGATCGCTAGATGTGATCCAGCACTACCATCCATCTGTACAACCATAAACACAGAGCACACTTGCTACTAGTGACATTATTGCATTCTCTACGTATGTATGTATATATATATATATATATATATATTTTTTTTGTGTTTTTTTTTGTTGTTGTCGTGGAACCCTTCTCTCTGGTAACCTGAGGTAGTCCTCACACAAAGTCTAAATTAGAATGAAATTGTAGCCACTAGCTCCAGTTCTTAACTCTTATTTCTTTACCTTCTGTGGGGTCAGCAGTAGGGCCACCATTATGGGTAAAAAGGGAAGTCTGGATTGTTGTAATGAATGACAGCCTTTAGACTTCAAGGCATTATTACACAATGGAAACATATATGGATGATCCTTGTCATATTGGGGATACAGCTGTTTATTTTAAATCTAGAAAACTGTTTAAGCCTTCTAATATAAAACCCAAAACATATGAAGGTTATTACATTTGCACATGTCACACACAGTACATATATAAAAATAATGTATTTTAATCAAACTGTGAGGTGGGCTATGCCTTTACATCCTGTTATGCAAAGCATTGTGGGAATCAGTAAAGCTTCTAATTCCCAAATCATCAGGAGGTTCCTATGCTAAATCAACTATTGATACGAAAGCATTCAGACTTAATGGCAACACTGTTTGGGCAGCTTTTTTATTGGCAGTCACTGCTTTTGCTTAAGAGTTTTTCCTGATTTGCTGTATTCCTATTGAGCCATACACTCTGTTTACTGTTTGGAAGAAGACCAAGCAGAGACTGTACTACCCAGTGTTGGGAAAGTTCTCTTTCTACGTGAACTAGTTCAAAGTTCAGTTCACACA